GCGGTGACGTAACGCGCAACGCTAACGTAACCGTAATCAACGTCCTACTGTGACGTGGCACTCATTACGCCACAGGCAAGCACTGCAGCTATATAAGTGGATGCACAGTGCGTATCGATCAGTTCGAGTTCCAGTGTGGCTACCGCCGAAGACATTCCGAGTTATAAAGTAACAGCCAGCCGACTACAGTTGGAGTATAGCAGCCGTCGCGGAAAGAAGAACCGGACGTGTGTGTAATTGTGTAATTGGGAGCGTGTGATACAGTGATACAAAGCTCCCCTACTGTCAACGTGTTACTACTGAAGACAGAGTGAACTGATTTGCGCATAGGGTTATAAGTCGTGAAACCCCGCAACAGTGTTAACAGATTAATGCGATTAGGGTTATAAAGTGTGAAACCCCGCAACTGTGAGATAATTAATTGTAGCCGTTATTTGTAGATTGTTAAATAAACCCAATTAACCATCTCTACGGCGTCTTCGGTAACGCAAACACGTTACACTGGTGTCAGAAGTGGGATCAGTAACGCAAACACGTTACAGTACATATGTGGATGATAATAGCAGTTTGTGACAATGTTGACCTGTTGATGACAAGAAGAAAAGGGTGAAGCACATAGCCAGTATGTGTAATTATGGCCTTTAGGGTTTAACGAATTCATGTATTGAAACAGTACCAATGTTTCAGTATATATTTCAGTCACAATTTTCAAGGTGAATGAGGCAACGAGGATGTGGCTTAATATATGGGTCTCATATTGAAAGTAAGTTTCAGGATGTGGGATATGATGCTATGTAAAGTAAATTTGTAGACGTTTTTATATTTTGTACACAACCTTAGGAATGACTGCATTTTTTATTTCAGTTTTTAACGCATTTAACCATATACAGTAAACCCTCACTTGTCTGTATTAACCATGCGGGAGAGGTCATCTAGATTAAGTGATAATCCAGATTAATGAAGCAAAAGATAGCCCTAAAAACAGCAAAAAATCACATAAAAACACTTACATGGTTTCAGTCTCTCCAGCTGCCCTCAGCACAGTCTGAAAGTCTTCTTGCTCCTAAATCCCATATGCCTTTTAAAGTATGTACTCAATTGTGAACAGAATTTTTCATTTTTCTTATTTCATTCCTGATGAACTGTAACCAGATTAGTGAGGTTTTACTGTGTCTACTTTTATGTCACAATTAACATCCTATATATACCTATTTGTTTTTTGTTTGTTTGTTTGTTTGTTTTTTTTTTGTATTGTATTACGCATGACTCTGTGTTTGGAAATCTTCTGTTTTCTCAGGAATTACCGGCTATTGAAGCAATTGAAGAAGCTAGAGTGTTATTGTATTTGGGTGATTCTGTCACAACTGATCACATATCCCCAGCTGGCAGCATTGCCCGCAACAGTCCGGCTGCTCGATATCTCGCAGCAAGAGGGTACGTTCTCCAAGGCATTGCAATAAACTGTGTACTGGGTTTTAATTATTGCAGTTGCTGAGAGTATAATTATACAGAAAATCATATTTTCACTCACTGTTGGCCATTTCACATGAAACTTATAATTAATATAAGAGATGATATAGCTCAGTCAGTATAGTGACTAGGCTGTGGGCTGGAGATTTGTGTGTGTTGGTTTGACCAATTTAGTTTGTTTTGTTCAGCATGTGTAACACTGTAAATATCCGTTCCAGTCATTGTGTCCATTAAATTCATCCAGTGCAAATTCACCAGACATGCTTCTTTCAAGGGATATATCCCGCATGCTGGTTGATGGTTTACTGTAACAGGAAAGAGAAGTACGTAAAGAATTATACACAAGTCAGCTGTCATTTCTTGTGTCTTTGCGTACAGGTCAATGAGATTATTGGTTATCATTTGATCCAAAACATGAGAATATGCTAGTCATTTTTAGAAAATTTTAAAGAGCTTTGTATAAGACTTCTGATAGTTGTTTTCACTTCAGGTTGACTCCCCGTGAATTCAACTCGTATGGTTCACGAAGAGGAAATGATGCCGTGATGGCACGTGGCACATTTGCAAACATCCGCTTGGTCAACAAATTTGTTGGGCAAGCTGCACCAAGAACACTTCACATTCCTTCAGAAGATATGGTGAGTTAAATATCTGTACACTTTGCACTCTGTGCACAGTGGCGAGATTAATTGTAAAAAGGGAAGGGATGGAAAGCGATGGTTTCTGCGATTTCACATGCAGAGAGAAACTTGCGATTTGCAATTTCATGCTGAGTGATATGTTGTATTACAACTAATGCCAGTAGAGTAAGGATCCTTCATGGAAAGCTTGTAGTCACCCAGCTGATCAAGTAATTCATAATTATGCTTCTCAAAAGATCCTACCTGTGGAATATATCATAAACCAGTTGAAGTCAGTCCACATCCTCCCAACCTGTTACTTTTAAGTTCTATTTTAAAATTATTATTAGTCTGAATCACCTTTGAAAATGTATCATCGTCAGACAGTGGGGTATATCATTACATTGCGAGTTGAAAGTAACTACATTCTATTTTCAGCATCAAGCGGGAACCAAAATCACCATAGAGGAAATCTTGTTAGTCACTCAGTACTTTTCTTCTGTAAGACTGTCCTCTCAAGACATGACAAATTCTCAGAGATATTTTAGACAAAATGATATCCTCATATCTACACGTAGGTCTCCTATTATTTAATTTTCTTTGTCCTTTTGTTACTTCCTCTTGGTTTCATATATTCTCAGAATTTTGTGCTCAGACATCTTCAGTCTATATAATCTGCGCTTAAGATAGGAGACCAAATTTCATACACATACAGAATAGTGAGTAAAATTATAGTTTTGTATCTTTAAAGTTTTAAATAAGAGGTTGAAAATTAAAAGATACTGGACTGAATAATAATAATAAGAATTCCTTGAATTAAATCATTAGTTAACATTGTTGTGAATGTGGTTTTGATTTGTTGTTCTCAAATACTTTTACTTCACCACACTTTTAACCTTAAAATAAGGGAAGCAGCAGAGTGAAGGAATTGGATCTATAAAAATTATACACTGAATACAGTGAAAGTTCAAACCAAGAAATGTTAGATTGGAGATTGCATTTCTGCAACGCTCGCTATTCAGCTCACTTTTCACCATCACGCACGCTAATCAATCACATTGCTTCAAACGTTCGCATTTATACAGCGCTTGCGGCTAGCCCGCATCTACATCATTACGCGCGCTAGCCAATCAGCGCTCAGCAAATTTTCGCTCCGCCATCGAGCGTCGTATAAAAGGAGTAGCTCCGACCCGGCATCTTCAGTGTATGATCAATCTTCACTCAAGCAACATCCACCAGCACACTTTGTCACCTCTTATGACTTGCAGGGTCACAGTGGAGGTATACCCGCCTCCACACTGACCCTGCGAGTCGTAAGAGGCGACGAAGTGTGCTGGTGGATGTAGCTTGAGTGAAGATTGATCATACACTGAAGATGCCGGGTCAGAGCTACTCCTTTTATATGATGCTCGATGGCGGAGCGAAAATTTGCTGAGCTCTGATTGGCTAGCGCGCGTAATGATGTAGATGTGGGCTAGCCGCAAGTCCTGTATAAATGCGAACGTTTGAAGCAATGTGATTGATTAGCGCGCGTGATGGTGAAAAGTGAGCTGAACAGCGAGCATTGCAGAAATGTGTGGTAATATGTGGGATGTTCCCACACACTGTGTGTATATGAATTGACATACAGTGTGATTCTAAATTATTGTCTGGGTTTCCATGGCCTATAATTTTGGACATCTTACATGCCATGAAAGGCGTGCATGTTGAAGTTGTTAGCATTCTGCAGTATTGATACTAAAGTAATAAAACTTTTTGAGTTACACTTTTATATTCTGTAAGCAGTTTTATTTTGTAGTTTCCAGTTTGAAAATTATAGATGATGGAAACCCTGACAGTAATATAGAATCACCCAGTACATGCACTTGAGACAACATGTACATTTTAACAAGATATTTTATGTTGCAGATGGACGTGTTTGATGCTGCTGAACGCTACAGACAAGACAAAATACCACTAATAGCATTGGTGGGTAAGGATTATGGCTCAGGTTCATCAAGAGATTGGGCTGCCAAAGGACCTTTCCTTCTTGTAAGCATTTACTTGTAAGCATGCAACAGATAGAGAGGCAAGCTGATGAAGGTTATTTAGTAATAAATAAAATTAATAAAATCTAAGAAAAGAGGTGATTTGCATTAACATCCTCTCAGTAAATCATCCACATTAAAGTTGAATGACACAAGGGGCCTTAAGATGGAGACATAGCACATAGCAAGCCTCTGAAGTGTTTTCTCAAAACTCGACTTTAATGTAGCTTTGAACTAGATTGTTTTTTTATGATGCATTGAACTGAGTATTTCGTGGACACGTCCTGGTATTCCAGTGTGTTATGGAGTCGGATGTCATGTTCATTTTCATGTTTCTTCTCCAGAATTGCTTTATTGTTTCAGTGGTACTGAATATGTTATAATGTTGACAGTTGACAGTGCTAATGACTTTTGGGTTGGCTGTACTTAACATAGGTCTTCCTAAATTAGCAAGACTTACCTAAGTTTTCCTAGGTTGATAGGCATGCATTTTAGATATGTTAGGTGGATGTTGTGTTGTCAAGCATATTAGAAGAACCTTATTTGGAAAATCTAAGCCGAACTGTGGTGAATTCTTAAGCTTGTCTTTAAAAAAAGTAGATTTATAATTACAAGCTTGGTGCTGCCTTCTCCTGGCTTCTTGCATGGCTTACTTGACACCGAAAATGAAGGTGATATGTTGCTCTGAAAAGTTAGGCTCTCTCTTAACTGCATGGCATCACTACCCAGAAAGGTTTATTCTTTGTTACTGTTATTGCTGCTTCTGCTGTTGCCTTCATCATCATCATCATCATCATCATCATCATCAGTGCTCTTAACGTCCTCTGATTCAGATTCATGTTTGTTTTTTATGTTTGCAACATCTTTATCTTGTCTAGCATCCATTTCATTATGACAGGATGATTCTGAAGTAAGTTTAAAATACTATTATTAGAACACAAAAGATTCATTAACATAACAGTCATATAAGAATTTACAGAATGTAAGTAATCCCCATTGTGGTAACCACAGAAAGAAAGGTGTTTCAACTGAGACTGTTATTTCGGTATCTGTCATATTATGTGGGGCACACATGTTGTACTTTACTTATACAGGTTCCAAATTTGTGTTGCCATTTTAGGTTTTGACTCATTTAGTTATGTGTTGGGATTACGAAAATGTAATGCTTTGAAACGTCTAATAAATTCCATATGCAGTATATTGTAATGTGAAGGTAAAGCATATTAAGAAACAGAAAAATTACACTATAAAATGAACATAGCGGTAGCATAGTCGGTTGAAGCACTATGCTACAAACCAGAAGGTCACAGGTTAGAGTCCTGTTGAGTTTTTTTCTTTTCCAGCTGCACTATGGCCCTTTGGTCGACTCAGCCTCTAACAGAAATGAGTACCAAGAATCTTCCTGGGGGGGTAACGGGCAGCCAGCGCATAAGGCTGACAACCTTACTGCCATCTATGAAGCAGTTGTATAGAGAAAATGTGGAAGTCTCAACGTCTTACAACCCTGTGGGCCTTCACGACCTGCTACAGGGATAGCTTTTCATAAGAACTTAATACTTATAAGAATACTCAATATAAGACAGCGAGGGTTTGCGCGGTAGTGTAGTTGATTGAGGCACTATGCTGCTAGACGAAAGGTCGTGGGTTCGATTCCCGAGGAGTTCACTGGCTTCTTCAATTGCCCTAATCCTTCCAGCTGCACTATGGCCCAGGGGTTGACTCTGCCTCTTAACAGAAATGAGTATATGGAATCTTCCTGGGATAAAGGGTGGCTGGCACATAAGGCTGACCTCACCACCATCTTTGAGCTGATTGTCTAGAAAATGTGGGAGCCTCGGTGTCTGACAACCCTATGGGCCACCAAACTTTGGACTGCAAGAGAAAATAATGGAAAAACATCATGCCATAATATAGAAAATATACTTTCTTGTTCTTAACTGCTACCAGACATTGATCTTAGGGAGACTTTAATTGCTTCCAGGGTTTGCGAGCTGTTATAGCAGAGTCCTATGAGCGTATCCATAGGTCCAACCTAGTTGGAATGGGAATAGTTCCTCTACAGTTCTTGGAAGGCCAGAATGCTGATACGTTAGGTCTGACTGGCAAGGAGAAATACACAATCAAGATCCCACAGGATATTCGTCCTCTGCAAGAGTTGACAGTTGAGGTGAGACATGGTTACTGTTTAATCCAAAATCAGCTCTTTATGTGTGTACTTACTTACTCATGGAGCTGAGCCCATCCTAAGAAGCTGCCAATTCTGCAGCGACTTAAGAATTTCCCAGCCTTTTTTGGGACCTTAAGGTTCATTACCATGTTCACAAGAGCCCTCCACTGGTCCCTATCTTGAGCCAGATCAATCCAGTCCTTCCCATCCCATCCCATCCTATCTCCCTGAGATCCATTTTAATATTGTCCACCCACCTACGCCTTGGTCTTCCCAGTGGTCTCTTTCCTTCTGGCTTTTGCCACCAGTATCCTATATGCATTCTTCTTCGCCCCATTTGTGTATCCTACCCATCTTATTCTCTTTAACCTTATTGTAATTATACTTGGAGAAGAGTACAAGTTATGAAGCTCCTCATTATGCATTTTCTCCAACCTCCCGTCACTTCATCTCTCTTGAGTCCAAATATTCTCCTTAACACCTTGTTCTCAAATACCCTCAGTTCATGTTCCTCCCTTAATGTCAGAGATCAAGTTTCACAGCCATACAGAACCACAGGCAAAATTATACTTTTGTGTATTCTAATTTTTATGTTTTTGGACAGCAGGTGAGAACTCTGCTCTGTATGTGTGTATTGCAGGTTATTCCAGAAACAAGATATTTCATTTGTTGAATTTCCAAGAGATTCAGAATTTAATACAGTTTAAATAGTATTCTGTATCCTTTTATATGTTTTTGTAAAACATTATCTATGTATGTAAATGAGTTGGATGACAATTGTATATTGAATACAATATATTTAGGTTGTAGACTGCAGCTAAAAGTTGTTTGCAATAAAGGAACATATAGTACAATTGCAGTTAACTGTGCTAATGAACAGCAAAAGAAGCATGGTTTAATCAAAGACAGTGGTGACGTGAATGTAGAAATATGGAAATGTTTGCAGAACATCTGATTCATTTAATGTTCTCAAAAACCGTAGAACTTGTGGGTAAGGTATGTTGAACAAAAATTGCGTATGTGATTTTTTTGTGCTTCTGTTTGAAACTGTTTTTGTTCCAGTACATATTTAGCAACTTATACTCAAGCTACATGCAGAAATGCATGTTGGTCTTTGTGTAGAGTGGTTGTTAAGACTGTCACAACTAAATGAAAATTGAATGACTTGGCAGTTTGTTGTAAAATTTCCAGTATGATACAGTTTTTGAGCCATTTGATGCTTGTAGGTGGATGGACTGAGATAACGTTATATGTACTCTGCACACATGTAAGTGATGCATAGATAAGCTTCAAATTGGATAATCTGTTTTTGGATAATTGGAAATGTACTGTATAAAAGAACACAAATTTAGTCTCCTAAAAATTTGCCTCCTCTTCTCTATGGATGCCCATTCCAAATGTTAGGAACTGGAGATGTAAGCAGTTGTGTTCTAAGAGACTTGTTTCACATTTGTTTTGCTTCATGTTTTTGCAGCTTGATAATGGAAGGAGTTTCCAGGTTATTGTCAGGTTTGATACAGAAGTAGATCTTACATACTTCCGACATGGTGGAATTTTGAACTACATGATACGAAGAATATTACAGTGAGCCACAAAAAGGAGATTTATAGCATGACATTCTGGTAAGATAGCATTTAGTTAGGGACTGTAAGTGATTCATATCAAATTATGTGATTCTCAGTTATCTCTTCTTTTAACAGAAGTAAGTCACATGTAATTGGAAAATAGTCTGTTGTTTCATTCCATACTCTTAAGCACAAATCCAACCTAAAAATAATGTAGTTGTAATTTATTTCAAATTTTTTTCAGGTTGATATTTCTGTTCAGGTCTGTCATTAGAGAAATATGTTTAACTTTTGACATTGTGAGAGTTTGTTGGACTACATACAAATTGGGAAGTAGTGGAACTGGTCTGTAAATAAGGGTTCTAAAAATTTTGCTTGAGATTTTGCATGTGAAGGAACTGAACACATATGTTTTTGTGGATTCAAGGCATAAAGATATGATGATAGTAGCAATATTGCAGTCCGGGCCATGCCATAACTCAAGCGGTTAGTCGCTGGTTTCCCACCACGGCGGCCCGGGTTCAGTCTCAGGTCTGGTCAAGTGGGATTTGTGGTGGACAAAGTGGCGCTGGGGCAGGTTTCCTCCAAGTACTTAGGTTTCCCCTGCCAATCTTCATTCCACCAATTGCTCCACAATCACCCTCACCTATCATCTGGGGCTGGTACAATAGGCCAGAAGTGGCCGCAGTACAAGGGACTTAGTCCCACCCCACTAGCAATAAAAAAAATACTGCAGTCCCAAAATGTGATGCTTAGCAGTTTGTTAGATAGATACCTATCTGACGAACTACATGGCTTCAGATTTCAGATATTGTGTTCTTTACGTTATAGTTTGTTTTCTCTGTTTTCTTTCAGAAATTTGGGTATTTGTGGTGTACAATTGACAATTCCATTGTCTTCCTTGCCTTATGTGCGAGAAGAGAGGCAGTCAGAAGGTTCATGATGGAGAGACATGCTTGGAGTTATGTTGTTTTTGGAGGATAGCAATGATTTTGCTTAAAACATTCTTTTTTGTAAAATGGAGTTGTGTTGTAAAATAGGGTTTATCTACTGTAAATTAACTGTTATAAATAAAGGTTGGTCTAGGTTAATCTTTTGTTATACTTTTTTATTTGGGGTCACAAATTGTTAATGCAGGGGTCTGTTGTCATTATGGCAGTGAGAAGAATCTTGAGGATTTTTATACACAGGAAAATCAGGCTTAGAAAGAGTGTTTAATCAATACTGATTTAAAAGATCAGTATGGGTACTTCAAAATGTGCTTTATATATGTGCAATGTTACCGAGAGAAATGTTGCAAATAAAAGTGCTTTTATGTGGAAGAGCGATGGTAGTTTTTCTATCCTTTATAATACACAGCTTGGTATTACAAAGAGCTTCAGAATACAGCAGGTGATTCATTACATTTCATATTGATAATTTTTCCTTACATCCATTATTATTTACAAAATGTTCATGGATATAATTTCCTTTTAACCATTAGCATATACCCTTTAAATTGCATGTTTGTCAGCCAGAATTATACCTCAGATGAATAATCAGATGCAAAAGGAAAACTGTTAAATCCTTCTGCCACTAGACAGAGTTTGAAAGTGACTAGTCTTCAGATACAGTGCATTGTATAACTCCTTAAAGGACAGAGGCATGGTATGTAACACTTGATCTAACATTGAAAGACTTCGTCTTGAATTCTGGAGATGGAGGCCATACTGTTCATCCATAATGTTGGTAAGTCATTACCAGACACATGTCATATCCTAGAAGAAGTTATTATCCATGATCACCACTGAGAGAACATGAGATGTTACACATTTGTGTATGTTTGCTTTCCGCATATCCTGATTCATTCATATTTTATGAAGACTCGATTGACATGGATGCTACCAATATAATGTAAGGCAGATTTCTCTGATTTGTTTTTTAGGCCTGTCTTTTTGTTTTTCTTGTTATTCTATAGTCAGATACAGTTATTCAATAAACAAACTTTCTTCCAGTGTTACTGAATCTTTGAATATGCTACAGTGTTTGAGTAGTGACAGAAAAGGTATTCAAAATAGCAAAGGAAATGGTGATTCTTACAGCACAACTTTTTCCTCCATAAATCGAAAAATAAGTAGGGACCAAAGCTGTGTAATCAAGGCAGGTTATATAGAGTATAATTAACCACAAGTCTTGAAGAAAGGTAGAAGATGGAGGTGATACGTTCCTCCAAACGTCAGCCAAAGCGAAGAATACACGGCGCCAAAACCCAGAAGACGACTTTCTTCATAGTCATCGCCGTGAATACCTCAAAACTTACAACCACAAGTCAGTGTTCAATTGTGTGAAAAGAACAAAAATATTATATGGAAATTGAGAACAAGATTTTGAATGGTTTATTAGAAAAATAGAAAATGCTCATGGGTCAATTTACACCATTACAGTTCGTTAGTTATGGCAGCATCTTCTCTGTGAGACTGTTGTGTCAACATTTTTCCCCTATTTTCTATTCCCCAATCTTCTGCATACAAGTAAGCTAGTTCATGAAAGTTCTTTCACAATAACAAGATGTAATAATTATTCACTGAGTGCAAGAAGCAATGTGGTAAATGGTGTCGTCTGTTAGTAGTAGTAGTAGTAGTAGTAGTAGTGGTAGTAGCAGTAGTAGTAGTACTAGTAATTGTGTAGGTACAGTCCTAATTATCTTGAAGTGTATGGTATGCTGGCTTCTAATGCTGTATAGTTCTGAGAGAGCCAGAAGTTTCAGAGCTTTCAGAAGAGCATATAGCCTCAATTTTCAGAATGAAAAAGTAAGGTAAGCAGCAAACCAGTAGAAGCAGATGAGAGTCTGAGATCTCTGAACCACATGAAGTCACATCCCATAAGACCATACTCATTCTCAATAGTCAACACTGTAAGAATAAAAACTCCATCATAATAGTTAACCTTATTGCTGACTAAGCTATCGGTTCTTCATATGGGGGGGGGGAGATCGCACAAGTCAAATTTTGTTCAGGAGTAAATTAAGAGATTGAATTTGGGTAATGTTTGCTACCATTCACTGCAGAACCTTTTGTCTTTTCTTCTGCTGTCTAGAAACATAAATATTAGAATATACAAAACTATAATTTTGCCTGTGTGTGAAATTTGGTCTCTAACATTAAGGGAGGAACATGGACTGAGGGTGTTTGAGAACAGAGTGTTGAGGAGAATAGTTGGACCAAAGAGAGATGACGTGATGGGAGGTTGGAGAAAACTGCAAAATGGGAACTTCATAACTCGTACTCTACCCCAGTATAATTAGAGTGAGCAGGTCAAGGAGGATTGGGGAGAAGAGAAATGCATATAGGATACTGGTGGAAATGCCAAAAGGAAAGAGTCAACTAGGAAAACCAAGACCTAGGTGGGTAGCTAATATTAAAATGGACCTGAAAGAGACAGTATGGGGTGGTATGGACCGGATTGATCTGGCTAAGGAAAAGGACCAGTCGCGGGCTCTTGTGAACACAGTAATGAACGTAATGAACAAGGGTATGCAACTCAATGCTATTGGCGGGCAACACAGCCACTGCTGCCGCGGTGGACAGCTGCAATTCTCGTACCAAAAAAATGCTGCAGCCAGTGCCGAGGGCTCGGTCGGTAAGAAGGTATGCTATCATATCACCTGCCCTGTCGGTAAGAAAGTATGCTATTATACCACCAGCATTTTTTTTACTGCTCCCTCCCAAAAAATCGCCGGTT